AATTCGTTACCGTTACTGTTATAGACAAAAAAAAATTACAATCATTACTGAAAAAAGTGACGGAAACGGTAACGGTTACAAGTAACGCATTACTTTTCAACTCTGAATATTTATATATGTTTATACATATTTATACATATTCATACATAACAAATTTTTTACCGGGCTGTGTGAAACAAAATATCAACCATATCTAAAGGCGCGAACTTTAAGCGGTATGATTCGCTAATTTTAAATAATTATAAATTATTATATAATTTAAAACCTATATAGCCTTGATACTTTGATATAAGAATTTTAAAATAATTTTAGAAATCTATTCTTTAACACTGCTACAGTCTTTACTGAATACTTTATAATATAACTTAATTAGTATATTTATAATAATAATGTAATAGGATAATTGTGTGTTGTATAGGTTAGAATTATTCAATATATTTTTTGAATATATATATGTATATATAATATATATACAAACTATTCGTGTAATATTCGGAATACATAGTTGGACTTATCGGACATAAAATTCGAATACTCGATAGAGATAACCTTACGCTGCGCGTAAGTAATTTGACAACAATAATGGATAATATACAGTCGACATTTGGTTGAGGAAAAGCTTTCACTGTCAATTATAACATCTTTATTTTTCTTCTATCTTTTTGAACTATGACGGACATTTGTCTTTTATTCTTCGCTTATCATATATAGTTCCTGTGCATAGCCTCGCAAATTAAAATATAAAACTAAATGACATATATATAGTTTTTTAAAAATTGTTGAACATAAAAATGATTCTGTAATCATTACAAATCGTTTGTAACCAAATGAACGTCTCAACAATGTCTGAAAGATATTTAGGAGATATTTGAAGATTTGGAATATCTATCAGACCTTTAAGCGTTTTTTAAATATTATCTTGAATGTTACTCATTTAGGTAGTCTTGTCTCGTGTGGTGCCAAAAAAAAATCCTTATAATGGCGAAAACTCGCAATAAATTATTTTTAATAAAAGTTTTATCTACGAACAAAATATTTCTTTATGTCGCAGTCCTCTTTCAGAGTTTTTATAAATTGTTAACAGTTTTCACATCCTCCGCCATATTTGATATTTAGAGTACTTTTATATGCTTATAGTTGCCATGTCATCGCATTGTACAGATATGCAGTTTTCTGTAAAGGTTGTCGATCTGTCTTTTCGTTTTTCTTTGCCTGTTTCGTATTCTGTTTTATAATCAGAATTCACATGAATCGTGAATAGGTTCTTGTATTTTATTTAGTATTTATGTTCCACGACATAATTGGATATGATTTTGTTCTTAATTCTTAATATCTCACCTAATGTTTTTCAATTATGTATTCAGAATACGTTCAATTCGTTTTTCTTCTTTTAACAAAAACGTTAAAAAGTCTCGGTAATCACCGAATTAACAACTCGTTGTCGATATTTCTCAACCGTTTATCGTCCAATCACATTAATTAATTTTTCATAAAAATAATTCCCGTATCTATTTAATTTTTCATCGTTTTCAAATAACAATAACCATCGACATTTCGATGATTTGTCATTGTTCGTCTCTTCAGACTCGAGGTGTGGAAATTCCGAGGTTTTCGCCTATCCACAGCAGCAAGCACTTTAGCATCTGTGAAATCTGCGGCACAGGTCACATAAAAACGTTATCTAGGGTGGGCAGGTTCTTCCTAGTGGGTGTCGAGGTAACGCCGCAACTAACTCCCTCATCTTCAAACGTAACCATTTTCTCACGACTTCTGGTAGCGATGTTGCAACCACCACCACTACCACTATCTAGTAATCGCACCTGGTTGGTGGTGATCACTGCGGTGGCAACCGGGGGTGCGATCGTCGAGGAAGGCCTAAGAACCGATGCGGGAGGTGGCGGTGGTACTGCCATATCCGTTACGGCAGCTGCGAGATTGAACTCGCTGACGCTGCGCGGCACAAAATATTCAAAGTGCAAAGAACTCTCCTGCTGCCGGTGTTGATAATGATGTGGCAACTGTTGTTGATGTTGTTGATGTTGTTGCTGTTGCTGATGAAGATGATGATGTTGCGTCGGCGACAAACAGCTCCTTCTTAACGGCTGGCCCCGCTGGAACTGTTGAACGCTGGCGCCCGAAGATGACGAGTTGCTCGCTGTCCTGCCGGTAGCATCCAGCGGCAACGTCTTCTTGCGTGGCAGCGAATGATGGCCTGGCGACAACTTTATGGCAGTGTTCGAGGGATGGGCCAGGAGCTTGCCGTCGCCGGGGCTCCTGGCCTGATGCTGTCAGGAACTGGCCGACACCATTGACATGGCGATCGCCTCCTCTTCTTGTTCGGACAATCGCGAATCGCTGGTGCCGCCTCCGTCATCGAGATCGGCCTTGAGACCGGAAGTGGCGCCTGCTGCAAAGAAAAAGAGAGGGACCACGCGTGACTCGTGACTGCCACTCGTCTCGGCGGTTGTACAACCGCGCTGTTGTCGCGCTGTTCTTTTCGATCGTATTTTCCGGAAATTCTCAGTTTCTTCGGTCGCGATTGGCATTGGTAATGACGACAACTTTTATTACGTAAAACAACGGGGCACTCGCAAGATAAAACCGTTCCGCAACGTAGCGATTACGTTTGATTGATGCATATTATATCCGGTTTGGTATCGAACTAATTGATATTATTACAGGTTTTTTTTTTTTTGGCGTGTATATGCTGCTGCTGCAGTTTTTGAACGCGACAAATGCTTGACGGTCGATAAAATAATCAACGATTCACGATGCTCTCTCTTTCTATCTCTCGTGGAAGACTTTCATCGTTGATTCCCCACCGAATGCCTTCATCAGGGATACCTGTACCACCGATAGGTCCGACCACCACGCCCGACGACATGCCGCAGGTTCTACCGAAGACCCTGACCACGCGTACCACCTCCTCCTGGACGAGGTTGAAGCACATGGCGATCAGGCCCATCCCAGCGAGGATGTAGAGCGCGCATGCACACAGGCTGAACTCCTCCAGGGTGGTTGAGGGCGCGTTGCGTCCCACCGGCATCAGGTCTCCAAAGCCGATCGTACCGAGGCTGGTGAAGCAGAAGTACCCGCCCTCCAACAAGCTCCAGCCTTCCAGACGATTGAACATGATCGCGCCTCCGCATATATACACTAGCATTATCGCCAGGCACAAGCTGATCGGTATCCTGACGGGATTGGTCTCTAGCATGTACGCCGGTGATGAAGTCGATGATAAGGACAGCGAACACGGATGAAAGTGTCGCTTGCCGTTACCCGTTGTCACATCCTGAATCGTAGGCATAAAAAATAATTCATATGAAAAATATAAAATGTGTGATCAAATTGTTTCATGAAGAAGAAAAGATTTTACATATTAAATTAAAATAGATTCCAGTATAATAATTATTAAAATTATATATACATACATACATATACACACACACACATATATATATATATATATACACATACGAGTATATATAAAATTATGAGAAAAAAATTGTA